AAAAAAAAAAATTGAGCACTTCTAGTATTATGTATTTGGTTGTTCATTGAAAAAACGTTATTGAATTTTGAGAAGAGTGAAAACATAAAAAGGCCCAATTAAAACAAGTGTATTTCTTGACATTTCAAGAGCTTTTGCTCCTTGAAGATCGGGTCAGTATGGGCCTCGTAGCTAGACTTTCTTCCCTATTGCCTATGATGTGTAGAGGACTTAGTAGAAAGCCAAGTTATCGCCTAAGCCAAAAACAGTTTTCAGAGGGAACATGAGCAACAGCGGGTCACCTTTGCTCAAAAATGTTGTGTCAAAAGAGTAATTAGCAGTGATTCGTCAACGAATGGGTTCTTTTAGTTAAAAACAAAATAAGCGTGTCACAATCACACCTTGATAAACAGTTTTTGAATTCTTTATAAAGAACTCTGTTACACTCAAGTACATCTCGTAAGGTCAATAGGGACATGATTGTCTCTTTAGCACTGAGAAATCATGCATTCTGGAAATAGAAAACTAAGAAAGTAATAACTACAAGACAATTTGAACCTCGTTAAGATTTGAATGATTTAGTGACTTAAGGAAACTAAAGGCGACTTTAGGCGACTTAAGTCACTAAATCATTCAAATCTTAACGCTATTGTAAGAAATTTCTATCCTAAGTAAGAAAATTCACTCTTCGAAGCTTTTCAAAGATTTGCCGCCAACTTCAAGTTGAAGGGAATTTGCATATGATCACCTTTGATTACAGAACCACACTCGACCCATAGTCAATAAACGTAACTGAGCCAATAAACTAACTGTTACTAATTATTTTCACTTCTTCTAAGCCGCGAAAGTTGATCTAAATCCTGCGAATGTAGAAGCTGAGGACTCGTAGCCTTTATTATAACCCCGACGGGATGCAAGGAGGCTATCTTTGTCGACAAAAGTACTATTGATTGTCCTATTTTTATCCTATTTTTTAAAACAAAGTTTCCTCTTTTTCCTATTTTCTCAATTTTCCTATTTTTTTGAACAACCATGCCCCTGGACACCCTGCTCGATCGATACGATTAAACAGGATGTGATGTCAAAAACGCACGATTGTGAGCATAATTTGTCACCTGTGATATTTATAGGTAATCAAATAATTAGGGAATAATTTCACTTGCGGTTTGTTCAAATCCTAATAATTTTGGCTCGGGAAATTAGTAGAATTTTGGATAAAACGCGTGTGAAATTATCCCCATCTAAAGAATAAAGAAAAAAATAACTTTTTGGGGGACCTGTGTTAGAGACGATATTTTGATTGTTAGTGGAATCTAGCTTTTCAGTCTTTTAACTCGAGTGTTTGTTTGTTTGTTTGTTTACCGCAGCTCCTCCTCTGGTCCCGATATCCCCTCCTGATAAAGGGGCAATCCATAGCAACTCGTTTAGAGTTAAGTTGGCAGAAGCTTCTGATGAGAATGGAAAAGTCAGGTATGAAAGTCATCGCACTTTCCAAGGTGTAAAATTTCAACACCATAAAATCTTTAAAATGCGCGTAAATAGAATTGTAAAACAAAATTGAGCACAAGTGAATTCAACACTTATTTGAAACGATACTCTGACTCGCTACTTTTGACTAACGCAAAATAGCCTGTCAACTTGCCAGACTTCCGGTTAGAGTAGACGAGCGCAAAAAAGAAGCGGGCGAGCACGATAAGGCAAGCGAGTGAAAAACGGTGGGAAGACAGAATGGGGAGAGCCTGTAAGCACTTTTTACATACCTCAGCCCGTCCTCTATTCTGCCCACTTCCAGGAATCAAAATGTCAAATGCCAAAATGTGCGGTGTAGGAGGTTTCTACACGCCATGTTTGTTTGACTCTGCGCGCGCATGGGGTATCTCCTGTCCGTCAATTCTGTTTTTTATACTGTTGGTTCTTAATGCCTACACTGTAGTTCTTAGCAGCTGTTAGTCGTCGCCTGTTTTTTTTCTATTTCTTTAAATCTTTTCCTTCCGTCAAACTACCAACTAGAGCTGTACTACTACAGTGTAAATGTTAAACTAAAAAAGAAAATTGTTTTGAAGTGCAGACAACTTCATTAAACACGTGATTGATTGGATACTTGAGCCATTGAAATGAACGTGTGATACTGATCAGCGAATAACCTGTTTTTTAACAGGTACTAATGTAGTACCATAGATGTAGGTTGACTTTGACCAAAGCCATTTTCCCCGAGATAAATGCAAAGGCTATGTGCCTGGTACTCCCCTCCCCTCCTTTCCAGAGTCTCCACCATCCCCCTGCCCCTTCCTCCAGAGTCTGTACGGACTTTTTCATGTGTACAAAGCGAAAAAAGTTGCTATGTCCCATAACAAGTGCAGCTCTGTAAAATCTTAAGAAGCTCCGCAGCCAAGCCGGTCATATAAACGAGTTTATAAGGAGCCCACCATTAGTCAGTATGTACTACTTCTCTAACTTCTTATCCCATAGGACGTTACATCTTTGACCGCACAGCGGAAACAGTTTCTGTCAGTTGCTAATCTACTAACTTCTGTTAAGGACATGTCGAAAACATCTTGTATGTCCTTTTCTTTTCCCACCGCCTTCTCGGTCTTCCTCTTTCTCTTTTCCCATCTATCTTTCCCTCCAAGATGATTTTTCCCAAGACCTCGCTTCTTTTCAAATGACCAAGATACTTCAGCTTTTGTTTCTTTATAAAGATTTCTAATCATTGATCTTCCACTTTCAGTTCCTCCCCAATTGACTTATTTTTTCTGTGCTGCGTCCATGATTTCCTTAAAATTTTCAAAATCGTTTAAAATTCTTTTTATGTACCCATAAAAAGTCTCTTATTTTTTATTCTTTGTTTATTCTTAGTTATTACCAAGTGATAGTGATCGAATTGGCCACAGACAATAAAGGCAAGGCAGTACCAGCTCAACCGCCAGATTATTACAAAAGAGAAGATCTCTACACTTACGGTGAAGCACGAAGGAAAAAGCCCACTTTAGTCCCGTACATAGCGGCTGAATTCAATGCCATGGATTTCGATGATTACGAGATTTTCACCGTGGGAGATAGCAGGCGATCCAGTCGAGCAAAAAAAAAAACTAGCAGAAGAAGGAGAAAAGAGGTCAATAGACCTTTTGAATTTTTCAACGGTCCTCTTGAAGGAGGAACATTATACGCGGTGTTTCTGCGTGCCTATGTTAAAGAGGTTAGATTTCATCAAAGGTTATCTTCTTTGTTAATAATTTAATTTACCTTTTTCATTTCGAGGCTTGTTCCTCTTTATCAGTGAACCTTTGGTTACGAACCCCTTTGCGCGAGTGTTACTGATATAAGTATAAATGTTAAACGGCAGACTGGTATTTTCCAGGTCGCCGAATGACTCTAAAGTTTTTGTGGTTAGGGTTATGAAACAGTAAATCAAGTTTCAGGTCAGTTTGCCTTGGATAATGACCCTAAATGGAACCTGACTCACTCAGTTACCTAACCCATATCACTAAACTTCAGAGTCATTCGGCGGTCAGCGGCCTTTCGGCGTTCTGCAAAATACCCCGGTCGAATTTCAACAGTGGCAGACGGTTTTGTGCGAGCGCGAAAAAGTGTAAGAGAAACATTCAGCGTTACGTAGAGTTCAAATCTCTGTTCTTTCCTTACGGATGGGGCGTTCTAGTGTATTTTACTGCTTTATTGAATTGGACAACTCCTTCTACATTTACATGTAATCCATTGCAGAAGCCTAAAAACTGTGACCAACCGCGGGAACTACGACAAACGGAGTGCTGAAAACCAGGAATATTTTTAAGACTGCATATTGGGACGCTCCTTACCATCTCCGCCTAAACTTCCCTGTTGTTAAGACGGTCGTTTGGCATTAAACATAATGATCACTAAGCGTGTTTAGCAGACGCCCTGTAATATACCCGGACGTGATCCTCAGTTAGTATCAATCCTTTCTTTCCTTATTTAACAGATCTAGCGAAGACAACACGATAATAGTGGCAACGGCATGTGCAAATCTTAAACAAACTTGACCGATGGTAGAACGGTTAAGTTTAGCCTTTTTTGTGTTCATTCGCCTTCTTATTTGACGTCGCGTTCTCATTGCTAAAATAATCTGCCTGTTTTCTGCCTGAATGAAGCGAACTCCTCTAGGGAACACTAGTGAGAATTCCGCGGTTTTCAGGTTAATACAGGTTCATTGTAAACAATTTTGTTTGCAGGATTTCTACAGGTCAAGTCCTTGGATTGATCCGGTTGAAACAGGTATAAGTTCTTGTTTTGTAATTGCTCTTTTATTGATAAGCCAAAATTGAGGCAAAAATGTCTTGTTAAGGTATTATAAATTGGAGAGTATTGTTAACAATTTCATCATAGAGAAAGCAATAATGAAAACCGTTTAATTCAAGAATTTCTAGTTACAAATTTTGTTTTATATAACTCTGAAGTACCAACGTTGGTCATTGAAAACACTCCCGTAGAGAATTTTTGTCGGACCACAGAATTTCATAGCGTCTGTATTTTCAACCTTATTGCAGAGACAACAATAAAATAATAACCGGGTAAATAACAAAAAGAAACAAAACATTTATAATAAATATATTACTTCTCACCACTTGCATCCATGAGTCTTCAGTTATCTGAACTTTAGATTCAAGAACGAGAACTACTACGAGTACGAGATTTGATTTAAAGTTTTTTCGCGTATTGTCAAAAAATAGACACCCCGAAATTCTTCACTGCACTTTTTTTCACCAGAATAGTTAGCAGTGTTATCGTTATTGAAGGAGGTAGAGCCCTCTCCCGATTGCAAAATGCTAAAACTTCTAACATTTCATAACTTGTTCCCGCCACTACGACACTCTCGCTAAAACTCGTAGTAGAATGACGACGGCTACCGCGTTTTCCCTCTAAAATAACAATGGTTCACGCACGAGCACTACTTAGTATTGAGAAAATCTCGTACTCGTAGTCGTTCTCGTCTTAGAATCTAAAGGTCTCTATCTTATATGTAGGTGGAATATGATCGTTCGGGTGAGTGTAGTCCTAAATAGAACTGTTGTGTATGTTGACAGTGAATCACAAGATCTCTATAGTGGAGTCCTATTTAGCACTATACTCAGCCTGACGGTCATATTCCATCTACGTAGGTAAATGGGTCACCCGCCTATCCCAGCTGCCCTCGTCCAGCCAACTTTTCGTACATTTTCTTGCAAAACTTGGCGAACTGTTTACATGAGAAACAAAAACGTTGGCTTGTCGAGAAGGGTGACTCTACTAGCCTGGTCATCCTTTTGTGATGGTTGGGTCACCCTACTTGGCGGGCCAACTTTTCTCCTTATAAACACTTTTGGCTTGGCCAGCCCGGTCAACTCGGTGAAGGTGAGATGATCAGAGCATGCGCGAGTGCTGTTGGCGCAGGGAAGGGGTGTACCGTACTTTGGTATAAGTGGCCTGTCCATGATCTTGTGCTTGTGATCCCCCCCTCCACCCCTTAACCTGAGATCAGGCCCAATTTGAGCGGTTCTCATACATTCTCTCTAACGGCTACCGCTAAAATTGGGCCTGATCCAAACTCATTCACGTTTGTGCTCGTTACGGCTAGATTTTGGCTGTAAAGCTGATTGGCTGTTAGAACAATGCCACAAGATCTGATTGGCTGTCGGAAACGCCGGAAGTTGAATTGAAAGCGCTTATTCCTCGCGTGGTTGTTTTCGTGAATGATCCTTCGTCGGCGGAGAGAAGGATCGATTTTGCTGTCTTTTTTATTGTTTTATGGTCTTATGGTAGGAAAATATACCTTAATATGTGCCATGGAAATTCAGAAAATTCATATGGTTGTTCATATCTCAGGATTTGCTTTATTTACGGAAAGTGAGTATATCGCGGAGTTGAATCCCTCTGCAAGTTGTTGACCGCGAACAAGGTGCCTTTTGATTTACCAACAAACGGGTGCAAATCAAAATACTGTCCATCTTAAAACTGGTTTCATTTGAAAGATTAGCCGGGAATGACTTCTCTGAACGGGGTACGCAAGCGGAGGCTCACTGCGAAAGAAACCTCAATCGCCAACTGTGAAGTATTAGACGAAAAATATCGCATCGCTTTTCAAGGAATTTTCAGTGTTAACAGACTGGTTGTTTGCCTTCGCTTTTTGTAAAAAATAAACCAGGAAAACTGGTGTCCTCGCTCGTTGGCTGTTTACTTTTGTTTTTAAAGATTTATGTACTGAAAATTGGGGGAAATTGCCGAGGAAAACAGTAAGGCAACGGAAAAATAGAAATTTCAGTATTTTAAATTCGAGCGCGCCTAGCCAAAATAATAAAACTAGTAGAACATCGTGTCGCCGTCTTTTCGAAAACTTTTTACCTTCTACGCCAACAGAAATAACCTTCGAGATCTCCCTTAATCTCGCAAGAAGTTAAATGTGATTGTGCTGACTGTTTTATTTTTAGCTGAAAAAATTAACAGATAAAAGCTATTTTTTAAGTCAGCCAGTCTGCATTTTTCCCACGCGTGAAAAACTTGCATACTAGAAAAACAAGCAACGGAAGTAATTTTGGTTGGCTGATTCGGCAAATGTCAATCAATCAAAAAAGTGGGCGGCAGACGTTTCGTAGAAGGTTTGTATCAGGCTCTCTTTTCGTTTCGCCATGCCCGCCGGAATGTTATTTACAAAGCGAAACGAAAATAGAGCCTGATCTCAGGTTATCCACCCCTTTGGCAAAGTTGCTAACAATACAAGATCATGCTCAAAACTTGGAGGAACAACTTTGAATGGGAGGGAGGAGGGAGGTCAGTGTTATATCTCACAGACCTGTGACTAGCACCGATTTAAAGCATGAAAGGTTGTTTTTTTCGTGGGAGTGTCTCAACATTTTTGCAACTGGTTGTACCAACATTTCTCGAATGGATAGAACCAAATTTTCTTAGCCATGGGGCTACGCTATAACATGCCCGTCCCACCGACGGGCTGACTCCTGACTCCGTTTTCCCTCCCCAGAGTCTGTACGGTCGGCGTTCGGTCGTACGCTTACGTCATAACCTAATTTTTCTCGGATGGATAGATTACCAAATTTTCTCAGAGATGTGTGAGCTCCTTGTTTGTATTGTCCCAGTGCGCCCCTTGCTCTCCAGCATGGCGTATGTGTACCACGTTAACGGCTAGCTGCAAAGGACCTATTGATTTATTTACCAATTAATGAATTCGGCTTTCGTAGGATATGAAGAATTAAGCAGATCGAGGAGGGTGTTATCCACTAAGGCCCAAGGTCGAGGTGGATAACATCCTCCGAGAAAAAACATAGCTAAAACATGCTTACCTGCATCGATGTTAAGTTCATCTTCGATAGTGTACGTTTAGGTTTGTCCAGCTCCCCAAATATTCTCCAAATAGCAGATGTCGCCCTCCGAGTTGTCTTCTTGCTGTTTTTGCCGTGTTTTTTGCAATCATTTCGCCTAGTTCCAGCTGCAGTTCTTACTCTTGAAACGAGTGAAATGTCCGCCATTTTTTTTTCACAACCAAAACAACTCAACCTCGTCTCCAGGTCATCTCGGTAACAATGCCTTAACCTGTAGCGGGTTGCATTTTTGACGTCGTTTCCTCGTTAAACATAAATTCTTCCAAATTTGGGCATCAGTAACTGGTTATGGTGAATTATGCGTGTGCTTTTAGCCAATCAGAATTGGGGAAATATTTTGAATGAACAATAATGTAATTTAACTGAAGCAATAAGCGATATTGTCTTTGAATATTTTCTAGTGTCAACCAGGTCCAACCCAACTCTATCTCCAATAGAAGTTCTTAGTAAGGAAGCCACTGTTGCCCTTTCTGTTGTTGGAGCAATCCTGTTCCTCTGTATCGTCCTTGGGTTCGCCTTCTTTTGCTTTATACGCCATCAGCGGAAGCAGATTGTGGAGTATCGTAATCAGCTTTTTCCAGTATACACTGGAAAACATCAGGTAAAATACCATGTAAAACGAGCTTAAAATGAAGCCACTACATACCAACCAGTGCCTGCTTGGATTCTGCAACTTATTTTGACTGAAAATGATGTTTGTTGGACTGCGTAAATTTCACACCCCTCCCATTCCAAGATCATAATCAACACCTACAATGACAACTTTAAACGCGGAAAAACGGAGGAGGGGGATTTCTTTTACTTGTGAAAATTTTGTCTCAGAGGAGCAATCAAATTAGAAAAGGGGTTTTATAAGCAAACGTCTCTCAACACTTTGTTCAAACATGACGGCGAAAATAAAATGAATTTGCGATCTTTCAAACTTCATCTCAATTAACGTCATCTCCTTTGATATGTGAAACGAAGGTGACTTTACGTGGAGTAGTTGAATTTCTATGGACAGCCAAGTTAAAGAAGGGAATAAAAAATTTATCGTCAGTGCCAGTTAACGTCCTTCGAAAAACGCGCATTGGGACTAATTTTTCACGTCGTAGTCGTGCAATTGAGTTTGATGGCCCGTGCAAAGTTGTCGTTTTTGCTTGTTAATCCGACCCGCTACTGTTTTACCATGTCGTAACCGTCGTCGACTCTCTTGCTTAAAATCTTTAGTAACCTTTCGAAAGTGCAGGGTTACTTTACTTATGGCCACTTTACATTCGTGTAAACTCTCATGGTGTTGGACACTTTTGAGAATGATTATACATTTATCAGCATCTGAGTTGCTTGTTCGAGGCCAGTCGACGGACATAATTTGCAAAATTGCAACCATAGATTGCTCCTCGTTTTAAAATAGATGTATACTCACGGGTAGTAAAGATGGCTGACATTTTGTTCATTTCATTGCAGGCTACGAACCAGTCTGTTCCGCAAAAATAGTCACGACTTTTTTTGTCGATCTACCGTGAACGAGGTGCCGAGTTTCTTTGCGGAGTGGCCATAAATTTAAGTCTACTTTAAAAACCTAAACTGGCTTTTGTTTATTCTTTACTCGATTCAAAAAATGATCCATTGCCCTGAAATGGCCTTCTAAATTCTGGTAATACTCATGAACCAAACACTTTCCACTTGGAGGGAATGAACTTATCATTGCTTAGACTAAATAGGTCCCTATTGTATACGTTAAGTAATAAAATATTTCTTGATTGTTTTAGATTGACCCTAATTGTACACTGCTTGAACAATGTAATGATCTACCTTATGACCCTGACTTCGAGTTTCCTGAGGACAAGCTCATTCTTGGGGAGTTTCTAGGATCAGGGGCGTTCGGAAACGTCATTAAAGCAGAGGCTATAGGAATAAACAACTTTAGTCCCAGAGACAAAAGTCAAAAGAAAAGTCAGCGGCGACCTAAAATGTTTCGTCAACACAGGGCCGGCCATGCGTACCACGATCCCAGAGGCAGTGCGTACACGAAGACCATCGTAGCTGTAAAGACTGTTAAAGGTAATGTTTCAGGTCAAGAGATCTCTATTTCAACATGTGTAACATTTACCATGGAGCAAGGATGGCTGGTACTTGTCGGGGGTTGGTTGAGGGGGGCAAAAAAGGAATTTGATTTATAGTTACTGTAGCAGCTGATAATATGCAGGGGAGGGGACGAGTTACCAGGTTACCTGCGCGGTTATGATTTGGGAGACGGGTAGGGTTGATTTGGGAATCTGTGCTACCAGTGGAAAAAACTCCAGCCATGCCCCTGGATTCAGCAGGAGTGAGGTGGGCAATTCGCATAGGGCCTCTCTCAGGCATGAGTACCGTTCGTGCTCATTCCTATTGCTGAGGTTTGTGCCCAGTTAAACTGAACGTTGCTTGTGATATTGTGAAATAGACTACACTAGACCCTGTGGAAACTGCACTTTTTTAACTGACCGAGTACGATATTTTGGCACTTCAGGGGGAGCTACTAAAGAGGAAGTAAGAGACCTGGCATCAGAGCTGAAAATTCTAATTTACGTTGGAGTCCACAAAAACATTGTAAACCTCCTTGGTGCTTGTATCAAGCGAGATCGTATCCTTGTCATTCTGGAATATGCACCACATGGGAGTTTACAAAAGTTCTTACGAGGCAAGCGAGATGTTTATGAAGCAACCTGGACTACGACTGCGAGTGACCCAGAGATAGGATTGAATATATCAAATCTTGTAAACTACTCTTACCAAATATCCCGTGGAATGGAATACCTGGCGTCTAAAAAGGTAATGTATTAATGTTGTCCCGTTCAAGGATTCCCCGCATTTCTGAAGAAAATTCAGTTCCAACAAGAGCTGTAGTGCCGCGGGCTCTTGGTTGTAATAGACCTTTTTGGATTATGTTTTATTTTCCCATTTCACACCACGTGATGTTCTCAAGGCAATTTGCGTCTTGTCTTTTCATAAAATATACATACATATGCTCGTGGATGCACGAGCAAAGGACAACTTTTGAAAGGAACGGTTCTCTGGGGTACCATCAAGTGGTCTGAAAAGGGAAGACAAAACATAAAGTTAAAAAGTCCATTCTCAAGCACTTGCCTATTTTCTCCGTTTGGCTTCAAGGAGTTTTGTCATGATTTAAATCGTTCATTCGACTCTAAATCTGCGCCTATTTGTTTGTTTTTCGCGTTTAAGAGAGTATGACTACCTGAACCGGGGCGCTTGAAAGATTATTAACCAATCAAATCATTTGGACTTACCGTTTTTTTTTTTGAAAACGGACCAAAAAAATTCAATGTGCAACTATGAAACTATTGATAACTTAAAAACCGTTTGAACTTACCTGACCTCTCAGGAATTAGCCCTCAAATTTAATGAGAATCTTTTGTTTTCAAAAACCGCCATGATTATTATGATTTGTGTTTGGATAATCTATTTCCAAAAGCCCAGCTTCGAGTATTCGCATTGTAAGAGTTTATTATGAGTAATAAGTGGTAAAAAGTAAAGTAACTCAGAGAGAGGAGACCTCAGTAGCCAAAAGCTCGCGTAAAGGATTAGAAAAAGCAACATGTAGGGGAAAAGGTTACGGGAACTCAGAAACGTGCGCAACAGCTGTGACATTAAATCAGCCATGAACCGGGAGCGAAAGAAGCGAAGACGTAAGTGTCTCACTAACAATTCAGCGTTCGAGAGTAAGTGAAGAGCATTGTTTAACAATGTTTAGTCTTTATTTTACTTTTACTTTCTGTAGCGTGTGCACTTCTCTGTTGGTATAAAAATTGTTTTCCTGTTTTTTACTGTGATGATGGTGATGATGATGATGATGATGATGATGATGATGATGATTATTATTATTATTATTACTTATTAAAATAGCAAAAATCTTTAGTAACATATGACCAATTTACATTCCACTATCACAGACTAAAATTTTGATGAAATAAAAATATTAAAACTAAGATCATAAAACACTAATTTACAAGCTCACCCCATTATCAACTCTAAAATTAGCAGACTTATTATTATTATCTCCTTCTTGTTTCTGATTTCTTGATTTTGCATTTTTTTAAAAACATATCTGTTTTATATAGTGTGTTCACCGAGACTTGGCGACCAGAAACGTTCTTGTTGGAGAAGACTACGTCATGAAGATCGCTGACTTTGGTCTCGCTCGAAATATTTACAAGAGTGACTTATATGTGAAGACAAACAGTGGTGTTTTGCCAATGAAGTGGATGGCGATAGAATCATTGTTTTTGAGGGAGTACTCAGAGAAAAGTGATGTGTAAGTACAAATGACATTTAAAAAAATGAATGAAGGGAGAATATGAAAATATGCGGGGATCGTACTCAAGGACGACAACTATATAATTAGTGCGTAACTAGGCGTTCAAATTAAAAAGAAGCTGGCCTTTTGATAACTGCAATTAAGTTAAACTTGCCATAACATAGTTTAGTAGGCGCTCTCCGATTGGCTGAGAAGTATGTTTGCATGCGAGTAACACAGTTAAACGCAACCACACAACCATGGTTTGAAAAACTCGACAAGTTTACTTTTATTAACCCATAACTTAGAGGCATGGAACTTTGAAAAATCTTTAAAGACACGCTATTTCAAAGTTTTTACGCTCAAGACGACATTTTAAGGGAGAACAACCCGTCCTTTAAAATATCACCTTTTTTTTAACAAATAAAGAAGCCTTGACTGTGCTCTGTTCTGTACGTTGTAAAGCACGCACGACTGGCAGCGGCTAGAACACGAAAGAAGTGTAGGGGGGAACACGAGATGTAGTCGAATGTTTCTCTCTTCTTCTTGAGTAGTACAACAGAATACAGCTCAGTCAAGACTTCTTTATTTGTTTTATGAATACAAAGAATCCGTTAAATTCCCCACACATTCCTTTTTAGTTTTCAAAACAATCTTTATTATTATTTTTTTAAAGCAAAAGAGTGTCGTCAGCATGTTTTATACTCTCATAAAGCACGCTCTTGCAGCAAATCAGAGCGCACGTTATATCTGAACTTTATTATAAATGCAAAACAAAAACGTGGTGATTACACGTACAAAACTTCGTGTAGATTCAACACTTCGCGACTAGTAAGAACTGCTCTTTTCATTAGTGCCATAAACAAAGAGCTAGGTAGCAACTTTTTCTCGGGAATGTTGCCGCTATAAAAGCACCCTAGCAGAAAACTGTTTTTCTGTGGTTTGCAATTTGTACGAATTCTCTTAAATTCTCCCAACACCCGAATCTCGTGTCTATATCAGGGCATGTAAACACAGCAGATAACGTTTTCTATTTTTTATAAATATTACGCGAAAGAAAAAGAATACTACTGATAACGATTCTTGAATGTAGCGCTTCATATGCAAGCCATGTAAGTTTTGATTCCAATAATTCCCTTGTAGTGGAGTTAATAGCAGCTTACCATCTGTTTCCTCGAGTCCATAGTTTAGCTTAAACAGCTTACAGGGCTTTATTGACACCCTTT